CTCAAATTGATGGGCCTCACAGATGGGGACCATGGTGGCAGCAGCTAGCCAGCCTGGGACCCCGAGGGCTGCCGTCTCAGGGACACTCCACCAGGAAAAGCAGGAGCTGCCCATGAAGGCAGCCCCAGAAGCAGTGTGCCAGCCTCTCCCGGGCTCAAGAGCACCACTTCCTCTCTGTGGCTCCTGCCCACAGCAGGCGGGCAAGTACCACCTGCTCCTTTCACTCCAGCCTCCCCGGGCTCAGCTTGCCGCAGAAGGCAGGACTCCAGAGGAATGGGGCCATTTGGCCGCGTCTTAGAGACCGGTGTCTGTTCTGAACAGGCAGTACCCAGCTCTGATCAGACATGGTTCTCAGAGCCGGTATGCACAGAGAGTCCATTATGAGCGGTGGTCAAGTTCTTGAGCTGACCTACAAAACCCATTTATCCCGGGTCCTCTGGGCCTCCCCAGACACAAAACTCACCACACATGCATGGCCCTGCCCCTGGGGAGGGTCTTGGCCACAAGGATCACATTCCAGCCCCGGAAGCCACTTGGTGACCACTAAATGCTGCTGTGTTACGCTCTTCGATCCTCAACGGCCCTGTGAAGCAGAACTGCTTCCAGGAGACCACAAACCAGCTCTGTCACCTAGGCAAGTTCCTCAACCCTCTGGGCCCCACTTCCCTCATCTGCAAAATGGGACAATAGTATCTCTACTCCTGGCGTTGTTCAGAATGTCAAAGGAGTCAATACCTATACGCACGGGTAAAGCACCTGCAGCCGTGACAAGTATGCCAGCACCCCAATCCCTTCCAAGAGCTCCCAGAATGCCTCTCCATTCCTTCTGCCACCTCCCTGTCTGTCTCCCCACAGGCTCCTGCTCAGTCTGCTCTATTGATTCTTACTTTGCCTTTGGACTCTTTTTTTTTTTTTTTTAATTTTTATTTATGATAGTCACACAGGGAGAGAGAGAGAGAGGCAGATACATAGGCAGAGGGAGAAGCAGGCTCCATGCACCGGGAGCCCGACGTGGGATTCGATCCTGGTTCTCCAGGATCGCGCCCTGGGCCAAAGGCAGGCGCCAAACCGCTGTGCCACCCAGGGATCCCATGCCTTTGGACTCTTGCTGAAGACCCCAGGCCCGGTCTGTAGTCTGCTCAGTTCCACACGCTGGCCAGGGGTCACGGCCTCATAAACTCCGTTATGCACATGCACGGCCGTGTCACACAGCCTTTCCCTCTCAGCTGATGGCAGCCACATCAGCTCAACTGCTCAGGCCAAAGCCTCCACATCACCTGGACCCACCCTGACCCCCACCAACCCCAAGGATTCAATCAATCCACCATCTCTGCGGCTCTTCCTGAATGTCTGATACGGTCTCCTGATGGTGGTCCTGCTCCTGCCCTGGCCTGTTTCGACACAGCAGTGTGACCTGCCCTTCTGCTCCCCTCCAGCTACAGAGGCCCCTGGCTGCTCCTGAAACACCCAGCACACCCCATCTCAGGGCCCTGGCACAAACTTGGCTCGTCCAACAAACCTTCCATGCAGATGGGAACATTCCACATGGGTGCTGTCATGGCAGCCACGAGTACATGCCATCACTGAGTACCTAAAACATGGCTCATGCCATTGAGACACTGCACACTTGATTTTATTTCACGTTAACTCATTTAAATGTAAGTTGCCTATGATTTATGGACACTGGCGGCTAGTGCCACTCTACCTGGCTGGCTGGGGATGTTCTTCCCAAGTTCTACTCTGCTAACTTTGTGAATTCTTTTCTCAAATCTCAGATTCATGAAGCCCATTCCCTGCCCTCTGGCATCCTTCACCCCACACTGCTTCTTTATCTCCAGCATACTTTACTCTCTAATAAACCACATTCTTCCCTCCGTGCACTGTTGGCCCACTTTCCCACTGGAATGTAAGCTCCCCAGGGACAAGGATCTCTCTGCCTAGAACAGAACCCAACATAACAGGTGCTCACATATTTGCTAGATGGATAAAGAACCATCATGGGGACTGCAGGTGCCAAGCCCTGTTCCATAGGCCTTACACGTACAAATTCCTTTTGTCTTACCAGTCCCACTTTACAGGTAGAGGACCCGGGAGCTGGGTGAGGCGGGGAAGAGGGGACCAGATTAGACGTCACGCCTGCTCCCCTCTCCCACCGGGCAGGGTGGAGAGCAGTCCAGGGAACTGGGAACATCTGCAGTCTCCGGGTGGTCCCGCAGGCAGCAGACACCAAACACTCTGGATGTGAGGTAGGTGTTTTGGGGGAGAGATTTCAGTTACTCTGACTTGTTAAATTACGTGAATGTGTTACTTTATTTTACCTTCATCAATTGCCGTTTTTATCCAACACTCACTAACAATGAAAAATGGTGTGACCAAAGTCCAGTCAGAAAAGGCACAAGGATTAATGGGCTGGCAAGAAGGCAAATAAAACCTGCTAGCAAAGATGAGAGATTCAGAAATACCTTGACCTGGAATTTAGTGAAATTAGAGCCTGAATGCTCACTTGGCCTCTCCTAATTAAGAAATATTCAATTCCCAATCACAGACTCTGATAGGTTAGCAGGGTCGCAGACCTGTGGAGTCTTCTGTTTGTTAAATATCGGGATTCTTTTGCAGCTTCCAGTGACATGTGGCCTGCTGACCACGCACTTCCCACCACTTCCTCCAGAAAGGCCAGTGATGTGACAGCAAAGGCATAAGAGGCAGCAACGCGGGACAAGGCACTGGACAGAAAAGAACCAGTGAAAAGAGAGGCGTGGATTCCCGGTGTTGTAGACATGCAGGCAAGAAGTCAGGCGTGGGTGCCTCAGAAGTCAGAAAGGCCCAGCCCGTGCTGGGGGTTGGTGGAGGAGGCTGCCTCCTGTGGTCAAGACCCCTCCTCCAACCCACCCCAGCAGGACAGGTGCTCAAGCCAGAGAAATTAACACAGAGGACCCAATGCAGGCCACAGGGCAGAGGTGGGCAGGATGAGAGATGTCAGGACAAGTGAGGAAAAAAGAGCAGGACTGCATCCTCACTCCTGCAAGCCCCGGGAAGCCAGCAGCCAGGAATGTCCGGCCTATCTGGGCACCCCTGCATTTGGAGTGGGACAGAGGGTCCCAAAGGGCTTGCAATGGGCACAGCAACTCTACCCATCAAGCGTCCTTAACTGGCTCATGGCATCTTGTATGACCTCTGGGCAAGCTGCAGAAGTCGCTGGGGAGGCCACAGCCAGAGACCAGCACACGTGGTGACGCACACGGCTACAGGCTCTCAGACACTGCACAATAAAACTCACATGAAGTTAACTTTGACTCAGATTTCCAAACCAGGGGATTCTGAAAATTCACCATTACAGTTCTCAAAGCAAGAGTAACTAGAATGCACAGAACACAGCATAAACAACTCCCAAATATGGGGTTCTGTGAACACTCGGGCTGAGGACCCATGCTGCGAATCCAGGACGTGTGGATCCCACATGGCAGGAAAATACCTGCCCTGCCACATGGAAGGCTGAGGCTGGCCCCCGGGCCTCTCACCCCTAGATGAGCAAGGCCTCAAGGAGCCGTAGTGTATGTATTATGCTTAGTGGGGGAGGCAGAGGGAGGGCAGACACAGCCTGCAGAGGAGCTCTGGAAAGCTCCAGGGTGTGAGCAGCAAAGCACTCTGCCAGCTCCAACTCAAATCTGGTCCATTTCCTGTCACATGTCCCCTCCTGAGGGGAGAGTAGAGGTCTGCAAAGGACACAGATGTCTCCATTTTGCACAGCTTGAGGGCCAAGGCCAAGCTCTGGAGTTAGACTGAGCTGGGTGAGCCTCAACTGCTCCTTCAGGCTCCCACTGCCCCATCTGTGAAATGGGAACCATGAAGGCCTGTCTAGGGGATTAAACTTGACAGCACCTGAAAGCCCCTGGCTCAGCACCCGGCCCTCAGCAAAGCCACAAAGTGCAGGCTTACCATGGTGGGGACAGTGACACACTTCTCAGTGCCCCTGGCACAGCCCCCAGCCACCCACCCCTCAGCTCTGGCTAATGGATCTACACCCTGCCGCCACTCCCTCCCCAGCCTAAATCCCTGGTAGAGCTGAGCTCTGCTGTAGCCATACTTTCTGAGTAATTTGGGGAAACAGTGCAATTTTTCAAGACCAGATCTGTCAAGATTTTCAAACATGTCTTAAGTCAACAAAAGCTTCCCCCTGAAATGCTGGGTCCTTACAAGAAACCTCCTCACTCCATGGCTCAATGCAGTAGGAGGCTGTTTCATATCTGGGCTCTTGTGACAATGGCCTGGGTAGGTCCTGTCCTCCCTCTCTCAGATCAGCCTGCCATCCCACTCCAGGCCACCACCATTAACTCCCAACAGTGTGTAACCCCCACTTCAGTGCTGCTCTCTCCCACTCCTCCATCCTGGCCCCTCCAGGGCAGGTGAGGTGCTGGGGGACAGCAAGGAGGAGTGCTTTCCCAGCTGGAAATGGGCCCACTCCCTCCTCCAGCTAGAGTCCTGAAGCTCTTTCACCTCACCTGTGCTTTTGGACATATGTTTGCAAGACCACGGGGCATGCTACCTACTTTCCCAGAAAGCCCTGGCCTTGAGTCTCCCTGCTCACTGACTTGTAGCTTTAAGAATGACAAAGTCAGACAGAAAGCCCCGAGTTTGGCTCCTGGCTCTCTCACCAGCTCTGCTACATGGGAATAACAGCTGCCACCTAGGGGGGTCATGAGGACTGGGCAAGACTGCACACACACAGCTGCATCTACTACTGCACTCATAGCTGCCACTGTGATGAGGACATACTTGCCTCCTGCCCTCCCAGGCTTCACCCACTGCTGCCCCCTTGCCAGCCCTGCCACCCCCTGACTCTCAGCCACTAGAGACCAGCCCACATCTTGCCCATCTCGACAGACAGGCAGTAGGTATGCAAGCATTTGCCAGAGGAGAGGTCACGTGACCCACATCCCCCACCACCTCTAAAGCCTCCAAGGGGCCCACAGAGGCCATAGAGGAGCTGCCCGGGCCCTCACCTGAGGTCCTTCAGCCGCTTGCAGTGCTTCAGCATGTCCGAGAGCGCAGACATGTAGACCACCTTCCCCATCATGCCCAGGTTGGCCAGTGAGAGAGACTGCAGCTGCTGGCACTGCAGGCCGATGCTGACCAGCCCAGAGCCTGTCAGGATGCTGGGCAGCTGGGCCAGCGTCAGGTGCCTCAGGAATGCCAGCTGGCCAATGGCAGCCACTTCCGAGTCTCCAACGTTCTGTGCCCGGCTGCAGGGTGGGAGGGAGTTGCGGATAGCAGGTTCGTTGCGCGGCATGGCAGAGGAGAAGTTGGACCCGATCAGCTCAAGGCGCTCCAGAAAGGGCACGTTCTTCAGCAGAGACCAGAACACGGAGGAAGGCTGAGGGCCTGCCTGCCCCGAGAAGGGGTTGGGGCAGGACTGCACGCCAATGCGCACCTTCTTGCCAAAGCCACGGGGCACAGCATGCATGGCAGGCACACGGTCGGACCGTGGTGCTGAGTCGGCGACAGAGCAGACGGGCAGGGATAAGGAGCGCAGGTGGCGCAGCCGAGCCAGCAGCTGGCAGAGGTGGCGGCCTGGGCCCTCGGAGCTGTGGTGATGGGCAGCCGAGAGGTTGAGGTGCCGCAAGTTGCGACAGGACGCCACCAGGGTCTCCAGGATGCCGCTATCAATATCGTCCTCCGCCTTGCGGAGCAGGGAGTCCGGGGACAAGCAGTGGACGCATCCACTGAGGTTCAGGCTCGCCAGGCTGCGGAGCTCCTTGGCTCCATCAATGACCCGCTGGATCAGGTGGCCACCGGACAGGGTGCAGCGGCTGAAGCTGAAATAAAAGGGGTTGTTGAACTTCATGTGCTGGAGCAGAGATGAGCCATTGAGCCAGGACTTGGGCAGCTGCAGGGCGTCCAGGGCCACGTTGCGGGCCATGGAATCCAGGAGGTTCTTGGTGGCCCCGCTCTCAGCGAAGCTGCCAGGCACAGAGATGAGGAAGGCGTGCAGATTCTCGGGCGTGCGGTCACTGAGCACAGCCAGGTAGAGCCTCACCACCTCCTGATTGATGTAGCCAGGGGCCAGGCGCGCGTAGAAGACCCGCAGGTTCTGGTAGTGGGGCACATTGCTCTGGCCAACCATCAGCTGGCCTGAGAGGATGGCGCCCTCACGTGTGCGGTCGAGAATCTCGAAGTAGAGCAGCAGCTTCTCAAGGCTGGTGCAGCAGGGCACGACACCATAGGAGGGTGTGTACAGCGTCTGCTTCAGCTCCCGCACGCGGCTCAGTGTGGCCTTGCACTCACCACTCAGCTGGCCGGCATCGAAGCCGGGGCTCACGTCGATGGCCAAAGAGCGCAGGTGCTGCAAGGCTGAGAGCATCTTGGAGAGGCGCAGGGAGGTCAGGTGGCAGCCAGAGAGGTTCACCTTCACCAGGCTGCGGCAACGGGCCACGTGCTCAATGGTGGCACCTGACAGCCAGTAGCAGCCGGCCATGTTGAGCTGCTGAATCTCCCGGCCGATCTCCTTCACCAGTTGCTTCACCTTGTCCTCACTTGCCTGCAGGACAGGGCCAGGGGAGGGAGGGGGGCAGGTCAAGAAAGGAAAGGGCCTGAAGGTACCCAGGTGACCCCTTCACCTCCCCTCAGGTCACACCCTCCCCCACGACAATCAGGGAGCCATGAGGGGCCCTGCAGGGGCTCTACTCCGGAATGAAGGGACCATGGAGGGGAGAGCTGGCACCTCCTTCCTGTCCCCACAAGCTTACCTACTGTAGGCCAACCATCAAGAGTCCCCGGCTAGGCGGGAACGTAAAAGTGGTGCAGCTGGTGTGGAAAAGTGTGGTGGTTCCCCAAAAAGCTAAACACAGAGTGAACATGTGACCTGGTAATTCCCCTCCCACACATGCACCCAAGGTAATGGAAAAAACAGGGACTCACTCCATGGGCCCCGATGTTCACAGCAGCACTAGCCACAGGAGATGGAAACAACCTAAGCTCCACCAACAGATGGATGAACAAAATGTGGTCTATACACACAATGAAAGATTGTGTAGCCACAGAAAGGAACAAAGCTCTGACACACGCCACAACGTGGGTGAGACCTGAAGACATCATACAAGGTGAAAAGAAGCCAGTCCTAGAAGATCACATGTTGTGTGATTCCACTTACATCAATTATCCAGAATAGGCAAATTCAAAAGCAGAAAGCAGAATAAAGGTTACTAGGGGCTGGGGAAAAGGAGAATAGGAAGTCACTGCTCGACAGATCCAGAGCTTCTGTTCAGGGTGACAAAGTTCTGGAAACACTGATAATGCTGGTACAATACCACAAATGTCCATACTGCTTAACATACAGCATCAAGCACTTAAAAACGGTGAGGATGGTAAATGTTATGTTACATGGGGTTCTCTGAACTACACAATAGGGTTGTGCCTTGATCTGGCTGTTTTTCTCCTTTATATCATCTGTGTTTTCACATCATTAAATATTCCTCAAAAATCTGCCATGGGGGCAGCCCAGGTGGCTCAGCGGTTTAGTGCCGCCTTCAGCCCAGGGCCTGATCATGGGGACCCAGGATCAAGTCCCACATCAGGCTCCCTGCATGGAGCCTGCTTCTCCCTCTGCCTGTGTCTCTGCCTCTCTCTGTGTGTGTCTCTCATGAATAAAATCTTAAAAAAAAAAATCTGCCATGGATTGCTTGAATGAGCCACAGTACGTCTAATGAGGGATCCCAAGGGCCAATAACTGGATGTCCTGGTTGCTACACTGCCTCAAGCACCTGTATGCATGATATCCATGCTTTCCAATCACTATTCTAAGGTAGACTCCCACATACACAGGCGTGCAGGCACAGGACACGCACATCTTCAATGCTCCAGATACATTGTGCTTCAGTACTGAGCTGGGGGCACATGCCCCTCCCTCTACCCAGACAGGAAGCCTGACCTTGAGGCAGCCCAGGTGGCTCAGTGGTTGAGGGCCACCTTCAGCCCAGGGCATGATCCTGGAGACCGAGGATCGAGTCCCACGTCGAGCTCCCTGCATGAAGCCTGCTTCTCCCTCTGCCTGTGTCTCTGCCTCTCTCTTTCTCTCTCTCTGTCTCTCATGAATAAATAAATAAAATCTTTTAAAAAAATAAGGAAGCCTGACCTTGGTTCTGGGGAGTCAGCTCAGCCTCTCCCTACACCTGCACTCCCCCAGCAGAGAGGAGCATAGCACACTCTCACAGAGAGAACCAATCTCTGGAAGGGGGCTCACTCAGGGTTCAAATGCAGACAGTTTCATGACCAGTGACAACAGTTAGGAACCCTTGCCACGGTCCCCTAAGATTTGGGTTCCGGTCAAGACCTCTATTGTTGAGGCACCTAGGTGGCTCATTGGTTGAGCGTCTGCCTTTGGTTCAGATCGTGATCCTGGTGTCCTGGGATGGGGTCCCGCATCAGGCTCCCTAGTGGGAGCCTGCTTCTCTCTCTGCCTGTGTCTCTGCCTCTCTGTGACTCTCATGAATAAATAAATAAAATCTTTTGGAAAAAAAAAAAAAAGACCTCTATTGTTACCTTTAAGATATGTTGTTAGTTGACTTTCAACAAAAGTTGCGAGGCAATCATAAAAAAGAATGAAATCTTGCCATTTGCAACAAAATGGCTGGAGCTAGAGAACACAATGTTAAGTGAAAAAAGTCAGAGAAAGACAAATACCATATGATTTCAATCATGTGAATTTATTTTTTTTTAAAGATTTTATTTATTTATTCATAGAGACACAGCTAGAGAGAAAGAGGCAGAGACACAGGCGGAGGGAGAAGCAGGCACCATGCAGGGAGCCCGATGTGGGACTCGATCCGGGGTCTCCAGGATCATACCCTGGGCTGCAGGCGGCGCTAAACCGCTGCGCCACCGGGGCTGCCCTCAATCATGTGAATTTAAAAAACAAAACAAAATGGGATGCCTGGGTGGCTCAGCATTGACCATCTGCCTTCGGCTCAGGGAGTGATCCTGGAGTTCTGAGATTGAGTCCCACATCAGGCTCCCTGCAGGGAGCCTGCTTCTCCCTCTGCCTATGTCTCTGTCTCTCTCTCCATGTCTCTCATGAATAAATAAAATCTTAAAAAAAAAAAAAAAAAAGAAAAGAAACAAAAGAGCAAAGGTAAAAGAGAGAGAGAGAAACCAAAAAACAGACTCTTTTTTTTTAATTTTTTATTTATTTATGATAGTCACACACAGAGAGAGAGAGGCAGAGACACAGGCAGAGGGAGAAGCAGGCTCCATGCACCGGGAGCCCGACGTGGGACGTGGGATTCGATCCCGGGTCTCCAGGATCGCACCCTGGGCCAAAGGCAAGCGCCAAACCGCTGCGCCACCCAGGGATCCCCCAGACTCTTAACTACAGAGAACAAAGTGATGATGACCAGATGGAGTTGGGGAGGGGAGAATGGGTGACAGGGATTAAGGTGATGAGTACCAGGTATTGTATGGAATCACTATATAATCAGGTATATAATCACCTGAAACTAACATAACTATATGTTAACTATACTGGAATTAAAATTAAAAAACAAGGGGATCGGGATCCCTGGGTGGCGCAGCGGTTTGGCGCCTGCCTTTGGCCCAGGGCGTGATCCTGGAGACCCCGGATCGAATCCCACGTCGGGCTCCCGGTGCATGGAGCCTGCTTCTCCCTCTGCCTATGTCTCTGCCTCTCTCTCTCTCTCTCTCCTCTGTGACTATCATAAATAAATAAAAAATTTAAAAAAAATTAAAAACAAAAAAAAAACAAGGGGATCCCTGGGTGGCTCAGCAGTTGAGCGCTTGCCTTCGGCCCAGGGCGTGATCCTGGAGACCCAGGATCGAGTCCCAGGATCACAGGATCGAGTCCCGGGAATCCCAGGATTGAGTCCCGCGTGAGGCTTCCTGCATGGAGCCTGCTTCTCCCTCTGCCTGTGTCTCTGCCTCCCCTTCTCTGTCTCTCATGAATAAATAATATCTTCAAAAAAAATTAAAAAACAAAAAATTTTTTCAAGGCAATCATTAAGGAAAGGACAACCTTGTCCATAAGTGATGTTGGAGCAACTGAACAGCCATATGCAAAGAAAGGAACCCTAGATCCTTACCTCACACCACACTTACCATAAACGCTAAAGCTATAAAACTTCCATAAGAAAATGTAGCAAGGGCACCTGGATGGCTCAGTGGTTGAGCATCTGCCTTTGGCTCAGGTCATGATCCCAGGGTCCTGGGATAGAGCCCCACATCAGGATCCCTACTCATCAAGGGCCCTTTCTCTGTCCTCTGCTGCTCCACCTCCTCCCCCATGCTCGTTATCTCTCTCAAATAAATAAATAAAATATTTTTTTAAAAAAGAAAAGGGATTCCTGGGTGGCTCAATGGTTGAGCATCTACCTTTGGCTCAGGGCATGATCCCAGAGTCCCAGGATCGAGTCCCACATCAGGATTCTTGAATACAGCCTTCTTCTCCTCCCTCTGCCTGTGCCTCTGCCTCTCTCTCTCATAATAAATTTTTTTCTTTAAAAAAAAAAAAAAACAAATGAAGAAAGAAAAAAAAGAAAAGGAAAAGATAGCAGAAAATCTTTATGGCCCCAGGTTTAACAAAATTTTCTTCAACAGATTACAAAAAACATGAACTTAAAAAAAAAAATCAACAAGTTGAGCTTCAACTTAAACACTTATTCTCTTCAAAGACACTGTTTAAAAAAATGGAAAGGCAAGCCACAAACTGAGAAAATACTCATGATACGGGTATCCAACAAAAGATCCAGAGTACATGAGAACCCCTAGAACTCCACAATAAAAAGTCCTACACAGTAGCTTCTGGAAAGAAGATGTATGAACGGGCCAGCCCTGGATGGAAACGGCATCACGGGGACCCCAGCACCCTCCCCCAGCACTCTGCCTAGGCCAAATAACCAAGGTGACATCTGCTCTGTGCATCAGAAGAGTGGACGCTTTGAAGCCTGACCAGGAGGGTGTACAGCACCTGAAAACCCTCATGCAGCTGCTAGGGGGTAAGATGGTGCCTCTGGTACCGCGAAAAGTTCCAACAGCCACCGTGGAACCTGGAACCCACTCCTAGGCATCCACTGGAAAAGTCTGGCTCCCTCCCCACACAGCACCCACTGAGCCCATGCCCTCCTGCTGGGTGGCATTCTACCTGTACCTCTTGGCCTCTGTAGCTTTTGTCACTTCACGAATCTCAGAGGCTGAGACTATCAGGACTCTGAGTGCCTGCCCTCTTAATCACCAGCCACATGTGCACCTCTGCCAGGCTGTGCTAGTCCTCAGATGGGCATGGGAGCCGTCCCCAGCCCTGCCCGCACACCAGCACCACCCCTGCGACCCATGCCTCACCTCATAGTCCTTCTGCAGCAGCACAGTGTGGGTGAGGCTCTTGTCCAGGCATAGCACCGCAAGCTTCCGGCAGGTGCGCCGGACATTCAGAACCAGGTCTGTGCTGGGGACGTGGCTCAGGATGTGCAGCAGGATCTCATCCGAAAAGCCGAGAAGGTGGGCGCCCACTGCCACAGCAGCTGCTGTAGGGGGCATGTCTCCATCGTTGGATGTGTCCTGAAAATAAGGGGAACACCAAATTCCCATGGGGTCCCTGAGGGTGGCCTCTTCAGCCAAGGACAGAGCCAAGAGCTGCCCTCGTCACAGTCTGGGAAAGAAGGTGCTTTTACCAAAAATCTTAACTGCAGTACAAGAAGCCATGATATTCTTCAAAATCCGCTTTTAGATCTGCATATCAGGATCTCTTTTCAAAAGTAAGAAACTTCCATTCTTTTCCAAATTTAAGAGATTTTTTTTTTTCCTACCTGGCATGCTTCAGACTCAACTTAGGACCACTGGCCATGGCTTTCCACCTGTGAAAACTATTCTCCCACCATCCCAGTATCATGCTTAAAACACTTGGGAGAGAGAATTCCATCAAGAAACAGGAAAAACTGGGGGTGACAACAGTGTTTTGGCCTCTCAGGGTCGCTCTGATGGATATCAAGCCCTCAGACAGGGGCAGAGGGCAGCTCTTCCCAGTGCTGGCATTAGGGGCCAGAAAATCCAGAGAATGAAGCCACCAAGTCCTGATGAATAAGAAACTGTACCTACTGATGGCATTTTGACATCTTAAGATCAGTATTAGCTAACAGGAAGTGCACAAGTACCTCCACCTCATCACACTTTCTGGCTAGAGATTCATATTCCCCACAAGATGTCCACACATTTCCAGGACGCCTGGGTGGCTCAGTAGTTGAGCATCTGCCTTCGGCTCAGGGCATTAACTCCAGAGTCTCGGGATTGAGTCCCACATCAGGCTCCCTGCATGGAGCCTGCTTCTCTTCCCTCTGTGTCTCTGCCTCTCTCTGTGTGGGTCTCTCATGAATAAATAAATAAAATCTTAAAAAAAAAAAAAAGAGAGAGAGATGACCACACATTTCGGTTTGTTTTGGTAGCCGTCTGCACAAGATTTTCTCCCCTCCTATGGGCCTTTTGCCGTTCCCAGGTTGCTGTATACAACCCAAAGGGAGAGGGAGCTCAACCCAGGCTCGTGTAACATGTAATCTCCAAGTCAAGGACAAAGGAACTAGAGGCTCTAATTCCCCAGAAGTGATCCACCTGCCCCTAAAAAAGTCCTCACTATGCGGGGAATGGTGTGCCTGACTGACCACCCCCAGGAGAGAGCACCCAGGATTATTTCCACTGTCTTTTCCAGTGATTCTGTCTACAAGCTCTCCTCCCTCATACTGACTTTTCTTCTGTACATATTTGCATGGATGGAAGCACTGAAGCCTGGAAGCCCTGCTGCTGCCATGGCAACCATGAAATCCGGGGAGGGAGAGCCTGTCTGCACACCCCACGCAGCCTCCAGGGATTTTCCGGGTACTCTGACTGCGACACCCCTCTACTCTGTCCTAACAGGTTTTACGGCCAGCCAAGACCTCGCTGGGCCTGGTAAAGGGTTTCCATAAACAGTTCTCACCTGTTTAATAGCACTGACCGTTTCCATGTTCCCTTCTCCATCAGAGGCAGCAGCCAGAAGTGCCCTTCCTGCTCCCCTTTCCATCTGAGGTGCCTTCAATCCTATCTCCCTATTCCTGTGGTTTGCGAGGGCACCCAAGGCCACAACACTCCCAAGGTCACAGTGCTCTGGGCACCATATTTCAGGGTTAGTGTTCTCAACCATTAGTGATTTTCCTTAGCTCACTGCTTCCCAGAGCCAGTCATAGGGATCACCCAGACACCTGTTAAAAATAAGATTCCCGGACCCCACCCCAGACATAGGGACTCCCTCTGTAGGATGAGGCTCAAACCAGAGGCAATCCTTATCAGGCCAGGTTGGCTGTTGGGCTCCGAAGGGAGAGGGCCTGAGGACAAGAGGGACTGCTTGAATCTGCCTGCTGAGCACCTTGAGGCAAACCCCTCCAGATCCCCAATCTGCATATTTATCAAAGGAAGAATATTTTCTCAGAGGAATGAAAACACAGGGCAAAACACTCTAAGAAGGTCCAGCATCATATAACATCCACATTATACTAATACTGAATTTCTCTTAAAACCACCCAGAAGGGGACGCCTGGGTGGCTCAGCGGTTGAGTGCCTGCCTTCGGCTCAGGGCCTGATCCTGGAGTCCCGGGATCGAGTCCCACATGAGGCTCCCCACATGGGGCCTGCTTCTCCCTCTGCCTATGTCTCTGCTTCTCTCTGTGTCTCTCATGAATAAATAAATAAAATCTTTAATAAAAAAAAAAAAAAAAACACCCAGAAGTTACAGGGGTACCTAGCTAGCTCAGACAGTAGACTTATGTGACTCCTGACCTCAGGGTTGTGAGTTCAAGTCCCACATTGGGCATGGGGCTTATGTTAAAATAAGGAAAATTAAAAAAAAAAAATTAGGGACACCTGGGTTGCTCGGTGGTTGGGCATCTGCCTTTGGCTCAGGGTGTGACCCCAGAGTCCCAGGGTTGAGTTCCCCATCCGGCTCCTTGCATGGAGCCTGCTTCTCCCTCTGCCTATCTCTGCCTCTCTCTTTCTGTGTCTCTCAAGGATGAATAAATAAAATCTTTATAAAAAACCTACCTAGGGCAGCCTGGGTGGCTCAGCGGTTTAGCCCCGCTTTCAGCCCAGGGCATGATCCTGGAGACCCAGGATTGAGTCCCATGTCAGGATCCCTTCATTGAGCCTGCTTCTCCCTCTCCCTGTGTCTCTCATGAATAAATAAATAAAATCTTAAAAAAAAAAAAAAAAAAAAAAACCTACCTAGATGTTACATTAAGAAAAAAAAAAAAAAAAAAAAGGCAGGAACTGAGCTCCAGCCCCCTGTGTCTAGTCTCAGCATACCTCACAAGATGATTTTCCCCACATTCTGCCCTGGGGCCAGCACCCTGCAGGCACTTGGGAGCAGCTGCCTCCCACCTACCCATCCCCATCTCCAATGGCCCATCCTGGCAGGTGGCTGCCGGATTTGCAATAGTCAAGTCTTCCCTGGAACCCAGACTTTCTAAGCCAAGGTCCTGTGGTTTGTAAGTACACATACATACATACACACACACACTGCTTTTCCCCAGGAAAGGCAGCAGCTCTGCAGAGGTCAACAGCAAACAAGGAATGCCGACTGCGAAGGAGTGAAACAAAAATGTGGCCCAGAGAATGCCCACCTCCACACACACCCATCTACACTGGCAGGAGCTTGCCTCTGCCTCTCAGCACCTCTTGTTCTCAGCCTCAGAGAAACTAAGGCAGAACCATTCTCCATCTCAAAAACGTTAGATAAGAGGTGCCTGGCTGACTCAGTCAGTAGAACACGTGACTCTCAATCTTGGGGTCATTAGTTCAAGCCCCACACTGGGCGTAGAGCTCACTTATTTTTTTTTTCTTTGAAGATTCTATTTACTTATTCATGAGAGACACAGAAGGAGAAGCAGAGACACAGGCAGAAGGAGAAGCAGGCTCCATGCAGAAAGCCCGATGCAGGACTCAATCCTGGGACTCCAGGATCATGTCCTGAGCCAAAGG